AGTTAAAATAAATTCAATATTCACAAAACTAAAAGACAAGGTTGATAAACTGGAACAATCGAACCTAGTTTACAAAATACCATGTGAATGTGACAAATGTTACATAGGACAAACCAAACAAAAATTAAAAAAAAAATTAGACACAACATAAGAATGATTGTAAACCTACAAATGCTCAAAAGAATAATACTACTGCGTTAGCCGAGCACCATTTTAAAACAGGACACGAGTTTAAATTTGAAGAGACAGCCATTTTAGACAGAGAAGACAACTGGTACAAAAGGAATATAAGCGAAATGTACCATATGTGACATCCCAGATAGGGTTGTCAAGAGGAGCAAAAACAAATTCTAATCTTCCGTTTTCCCGGTCAATCTTTTCAGAATTTACCCGGTTAGGAAGAGTGCCCTGTTTTGAGTCAATGCGTGGAACCGGACTTTACTCGGGATCTGGGCAAGAGGAGCCTTAATCCCAAAATAAGTAGAATATTTTACTTACCTTGGCGCCGCCGTTGTTTGATAGATGTTGAAGATGGTTGATAGATATTGATTCCGTCAGTAATTTGGATAGACCTTCCTGATAACAATTGAGGATTTTGGCCAACAGGAGTTCAATTCCAATTCACAACACACGATATTTGGTAAAATAAAGTATATTCTAAACAACAGTTGATATTMGAGATTATACACTGAGTTTACAAAATTTATATTCACAATATTAGAAAGAAAACGACGTGTCACAGAACAACGTAAACTGAACGCAGTATTATAAAGATGAAAGAACGTACTCTTATAATATAACAATTGTACAAAATTGTGAATTGAGTAAATTATTAACTATTAGTTAATAATTTACAATAACTATTGAAAAAGTCTGTCTTCCAAGTTAACCGAATAATATTAAAGAAGAGTATCTTGAGAAAGACTGCTCTCTTGATAAAGTTTGTTAACGTATAAGGAAGACTTATCTTGAAAAAGACTTGTCTTATAAGAAGTTGTTGTATTTGGAAGAGAGACTTTCAAGCAAAAATGTATAAGTACAAAATACTTTAAGAGTAGAGTTTATGTGTTATATTGTACAACAGGGTTATGTTGTAATATCAAGCTAATATACCCTCTGCAGACGTACATACTAATGTAGCTTTAGACAACACATACTTAGAATATTATTTAGATTTGGTTAATAAGATTAAAACGTCTCAGAACATTGCAAGACGGAACCTAGTGGGAGCTACAATCAGATCAAAATTTTACTACGATCGAAATGCTCGGGGTCAGAACCTAAAAGTTGGCCAATACATATATCTTTTAAAGGAACCAACGACAAAACTTGGCAGTCAATACACTGGCCCCCACCAGATTCTAGAACTGCTACCTAATAACAATATTAAGATTAACTATAGGAATAAAAGTAGAATCGTTCACAAAGATAAGGTCAAGATTGCTAAAGACCAATAAAATAAATATCTTTTAGTTTACGTATAAAAATGANATATCTTTTAGTTTACGTATAAAAATGAAGACGATATTGAGTTTCCTTGTCATTTACTACATCACCGTCGCGTCCGCATTACTTGGCTACGATTGCGGAGGCACGGCGGCAAACATCACCACAGTCTCACTGCTGGAGGCAGGAGAGTGCGACCTCCCCAACACAGCTGTCAACAAAATGAAGACGTACGTGCAACTGCTACAACTAATAGACTACGATAATACCATGGTGTTTCAGTGCAGGATAGAAATTGACAGAACAATATATTATTGCGGGATGAGTTCGCACATCTCGGCTGTGCATGGTGGTCGACGCGTGTACTTGGTTGAAATCTCACGCGAAGTGTGCAGTTCAATTATCAAAACGGGAACACTTTCATTGAATTCTTTCACCCAGATAAGTGGTCTTCAAATCAATACAACTGACTTTCGGAGTGTAACACTGGCGGGCTCAATCGGCATCGATGGCAGGTGCCAGGGAACGCAATATTCCGACGCCGACGGAACATGGGAAAGTGTGGTGGTTCAGGGGGTAGTGCGTACAAATATTAGAACTTACACAGGAATAGTTAAAATAAAAGATAATTCTATATCATTAAGAGGACACCTACAATGTTCCTTTTCGGARGAGACTTGYTYCACYGACGAAAATGGGAATGCTTTCTGGACCGTCATTCCAAGATCTACATGCCATTTTGAAATGTATTCTGCGCTGTACGAGGGAGAAGCGGTTAGAATGACTGCACTCGACAGCGATTCACGCATTTATGCGGTGACTGAAGGCGAGACAACATTCGCGTTAATGGGAAAACAGGAGGAAAACTTATGCGGATACAAACTTATAAAAACCGAGCATCCAAAATTATTCATCCTAGAAACTGGACGAGATAAGACATTTACATCAAGAACAAAACTATCAACCAACAATATGGATCTATTTACTTATGTAAATTCTAAATTCGTTTATGTAGAAAAACACCATCAAAATCAACTGGAAAACTTATATAATAATGTCTTACAACAAAAATGCAAACTAGAGAAAGAAGTTATCAGGAACGCACTCGCACTGGCGGTGATGCTCCCTGACGTTTTTGCTGTAACGATCATGAGGAGCCCGGGATACATGGCGGTCATTGGTGGATAAGTGGCGCACATTATCAAATGCACCCCTGTTCCAGTCAAAATTAGGCACACTGATAGTTGCTTCCGGGAGCTTCCGGTAACATACCATAATGCAAGTATGTTTCTAAAACCTAAATCTAGGATTTTGGTGGGCAGAGGCACGCAGGAGCTCTGCAATACCTTGCTCCCGCATGAATACTTCGTCGAAGGCGTCTGGTACCAATTACTGCCAAAACCAACGTACGTTAAGGAACCACACATCTTGGAACCACAAACCACATCCAATTGGAAGTACACCGATGCAGGCTCCCTCGCAACAAGCGGTATTTATTACCAAGCGGATCTGGAAAGCCTACGGGACCATGTCATGTT